TTTCGAGCCCCACCCCTCAAAATCTATTGCCTCAAATTTCAATTTTTTTTCGCAGAATAGTAGTCCTAATGAGTCTCTACAAAATGCAAAAAAATTGGTCAAAATATCTTTCAACGTAAGAAAGATATAACCACTCAAAAATCGAAAAATCTTCAAAAGGCGGAAATACATACATACATACATACATACATACATACATATATACATACATATATACATACATATATATATACACATGAATTTGAATGGCATATATTTTCGTGATCTACGACCCGTGATCGATGCTCTTCACAAGGTCTCGGGTCTGGGTCCGACATCATGGGAGAATGCAATAGTGTATTTCCTTCGGAAAATACACTAAAAAACGGTAGGGGGTCCAGATATTTTTTTTACAAACAGAGTTGTAACTTTTGAAATATTCGACCGAAAGTTTTGATTTTGGTTTCAATCGATAGATATTGAGTTGGTCTTTCAAATGAGACCAAGATCAAGCCTCTAGCTATCTTGGTTTTGGAGTTATAGAACCAGTCTCGGTACTTTTTGGACAGCCTATGTATTATAATACATGGTGGCAGAATGGCGAAGGGAGTAATGAGGTTAAAGGGAGTAAAATTGAGTAAAAATAATGTTGAAGAGGATTATAATGGACACGCACATAAATATAATAACCGTACAGGAGCCAGATCGACCACAAAAGTTGAAATATGATAACCAAAGCCATTCCGCCTAACCAAGGTAACATGAGACCTCTGAGATTTTTATGGATCCCCATTACAAGAAGAACAGCAGAAAAAATCATCAGTATGAGGAAAAGAACAGCTGTCAAACCATAAAAAATTAGAGCTGAAACAGTATTTGAAAGCAAATTAGTAAGAATGAAGAATATTTACATAAACACAAAAAAATTAGGATTTCAAGATTGAAAATTCAAACTGAAGAAACATTGACGAAAAAAAATAAATTGATTTAAATTTCCGTTGGGGGAAATAAAATTAGCAAATCATTGAGAATGGGAATTTGTGAGCGTTCAGAATATTCTTTCCTTTCACATTATATTCATTCTAGAAGGACTTTGACTTAGGACTTGACTAGAACTTAGCACGGTACCATCCTTCTGCCTGCCTTTTGATTCGGGGATACTGCATGCAAAGTAATTGTTTGAACCTTCAGAAACTGCATTCTGCTCTTCGACATTGGATTTAGTCCCACCAGGCTTTGGCACAGTAGCAAGAAATGAAATAGTGCACTTCATGTTCGCGTGTGGTCCGGGATCAGGAGGCAGGGTACGGCCATTCTATACTTTGGTTGCTATAAAGATGCCAATAACATTAATATCCAGGTGCATTACCCCTTCCTGTTTGATATAGAGTGTAACGGCCGATCTTTGGGCCGTGGGACCTTGTCATTTTGGTGATAAAGATGAAATTTGGCATTTAAAAAAAGGTTGTTAAAGTTTAATTTTAGTAAAGGAACTACTATTATTTCAATAAAAAAAGTAGAAACATATGCAGTGTCAAACTCGCCCCTCTCTCGGTTACACGGGCTAAGACCCCTTGAGCGATACATATCTTATGAATAGCCCCTTATTTCTGACCTATGTCAGTGATTTATTTGAGATAACTTTGCTTTCTGTTACTTTTATTCGGTTTCTTCCCGTTCTCACCACTGTGGCCGAGTTATTTCTTTTCGTAGAGATTATTTGTTGTTAGAGGATATTTGTTATCTATGAAGGGTGTAAACAAACAAATTACTAGAAGCAGTAGCGACCTTGTCAAGCATATAGAGATCTCCGACCGAGAATGAGAGCTGCTACAGTATCTTACACGAACCTGTTCAACTTTTGTGTTATTTTGAGATATCTCCGCGAAAACTTAACGAAACTCGCACTTAACTCGCACTAACGAAACGCACGCACTTGAAAAATCTTGACCTCAAATGATATTGGACATTTAGAGGTTTGAAACGCCAAACAGAGTGAGAGCTACTTTTCTTTTCTCCTTTTGTAATTTTCGAGAGATTACTATTTTTCCCTCTCTTCATTTTTCAAATTTTTTTTAGATAGGTACACACTAATTTTGTGACAAGATGTCATAGGCATGATGGGACTTTTACCCTTTATGGGGTTTTTGGTAGTTTAAATACTTACAGTCACGGACATCAGCTTCAAAATATGGTGAGAAGAGCTGAGATGAATCACCTCTCAGTATCATGTACACTGTCAGAGTTATCAAAACAAGTGATGTAGCCTGCAAAAGAAAATACCCACATGATAGGGTAAGTGGAGAACAACACCCTCCTATCTGCTAGTGGTGCTCATAGTGCACTCCATGTCCACAAGTGGTCCGCAGTCATGAGGCAGAGCATCATCATTCTATGCCTTGGAACCTGTAGCTTTGAAGGGTTTCTATAGCTTTGTAACTTTGAGGATGCTGATTACAGTTTTCTTTATATACATATGGTGTTCTAAGGTTGAAGGTAAATATTTCATGGCTCAATTTATAAGGGAAGAGAAGGACCGCCCCATGGTATACAATTTTAGCCAAAAGCACCTCCCATACACGCATTGATCCTGAAGATTTACGAAAAATCTTGTACATTATCTTCAACTTTGTCCTTAGTTTTGCTTTCCGTCAACCCTATAAAGTTGATCCTACGTACTTCTTATCTTAAGTTTCATATTTGCAAAGAGAATAACAATCCAACTCTTTTGCGAAAGGGGGGATTAGGGGTTTTCCATCAATGTTTGGGAGCAATACGATCAAAACTATAGTGGACTTGATTTAATCAGAAACACTAATAATGCCATTCAAAATACAAATAAAATACAACTTTCACATTCGAATTACATGTTTTTCCGGCCCTGAACTGAAAATTAGATACAAAATACCTACATGAGATTGATTTCTCATTGTTCAAGGAAAAGCAAAATTGTAGGCAAAATTGGAAATAAAGAGAGTGATTTTTCAAAAATTTGAAGGATAATTCTGAGGACAAGCAGTTTTGAAAAATACTTTGTACCACAAAAAAGCCCTTTTATAACCCGCAGAGTCGAACCATGATTATTGCCTGCTAACCCTGGGACATCCCGTAAGGTAAAACTGTAAAATCAGATACAGTGCTCGATTAAATGGGTGTGTTGCACTCAAGAGGTACAGCCGCATAAATATACTCTTTAGAAGTAAAATCGCACAAAATTCATGCTGGATTTATTACGAAAGTCTGACATCCATTAGTCAGCATGCAATCTGCGTAGTTTGTAAAACACTTTTTCAAGTTTCCTGCGTCTGCAAGCAGTTACTCTCAGTCACCGCCGAAAAAAGGATGTATACTAAATTTTCTTCGCTGTCAGGAGTTGGAGATGACAGATAATGAGATGAATTTTGAATAATTAAACATGAAACTGCTTTGAGCTGCTGATAAAAAATCATGTCTCAGTTTACTTACTACGGTGTAACCAGCAACTGCTACGCTTCCACTTTTTACATTAGAGTGAACAATGCAAGGAGTCCAAAATGATCGGAGCAAAACCATGATTCCGAAACTCTGAAAAATGAATGAATTATATTTAACGTCATGGGCAAAAACGATAACAGAAGAGAGAACTGGGACGGATCTGGGGAAGGGGGGCAAATGCCCACTACAACACCCTAGGATAACAGTAATACGGGGGCGAAACTCCACCACGGGAATTTGGTAAGTTCCCGAGCTCAAATGGTAACTGGCTGACCTGGTCTTTGAGGCGTAGGGATGATGAGAGAGTATCCAAAACAATAACACCGGTATTCGAGGGATGCCACTCCGATTTTATGATTAGATATACAACATTCAACACTCGAACACTAAAGTAACACAAAGATAAGATATTAGAGATTTGGGCCCGTGGCTCCAACAACTAAACTGATTCATAACAACAACAAAGGGGGGTGGGAGAAGAAGGGGGCGAATGACTCCGACACTTCAGGTACGAGTTTTCTAAAAGCGACCAGGGGGACTCAGGGGTGCCAATGACTACCGGTGAGTTATCTTGGAACGCACTCGAGAGAAACTGGAGGTCCGTGCTTTTCCGGCCGCTTCCCTGGGCCCCAGGGAAGCGGCCAGAGGCGTTCTTCCCCACGGGCCTGAAGGCCTTGTCTCCACGGGTCGTTTCACGAGATTTGTCCCAGGGAAAAATCCCACTTACGAAGTTTGGAAAAATATTGAGTTAATCAATATTTTTCCCAGGACCAAGTATGGTCCTTTTACCCTTAGGACCCACTGAGAGAAGAAGAAGAAGTGTAAACGAATTGTGCGATATTTTGTTGATTACTCCATTGTTCATGCTTGTTTAGTTAAAATAATGTGTCTAATTGTCAATTGTGTGCAATTATTATTTTAATTCCGGCTAAATACTCGACTTTAACTAAGTTATCTTCCCGCGCAAACTAGTCGCAGGACCATATGAGCCTCGTCCCGTGGAGACGGTAACTGGGAAAAATCCCAGAAGTTTCATTCCTGCGATTCGAACTTGGGACAAATCCCATGAAAACGTCCCTCGGAGACAAGGCCGAAGAAGATGTTAACATGATGTCAGCTATTCAACGTCTCTGCGATATGACACCACTAGGCTCATCTACGCCCGGCTGGACCTCGCTGCCGCTCCAAGCCAAGGTAGATTTACACAGGTATGGACGGAACTTAACAACTGGCCTCTGATTGGCTCTCCAGCGGCCCCTTAACGTCAGCCATTTTGAATGTTTTGATTTATTATGTTCGGTTTATCGTTTGTCAAAATTGTGTGGGATTTTTGGCACAATTTTGATAATGCGATATTAATTTTAACGTTTAAACGCACAAACGTTTGAATGTTAATTTGATTGTAATTTAATTAAAAAACGGGCCCCTTAACCTACGTCACGTACTCACGTAGTCATGTGACACGTACTGAGGCTCACGGGAAATTTTCAACTTTTCCATACCTGTGTAAATCTACCTTCGCTCCAAGCTCAGAAGCTAGAGTACCTGTATAGGGAGAGTATGGACAGATCGGTTCATGGAGGGCTTAGGGCCCAAAAGTGCAGCCACCCTTCTGAGCAACTTCTAACACACAAAATTTCACTGCCAGCTTACAGATTTCAATTCTAACCGAGATGGCTAAGAATGTACATAAATGAGCGTTCTTTCGCAAAAATAAGTAAAATGCAAAAAATAAGCCAAATACATGCTTTCTAAACAACGGTTCGTAACAATTGTATTTGTAAATCGCTCTGGACATTCGAAATTCATAAGTTGGCTGCCTTTTTGGGCCCTAACTTTATTCGCGGAGGCATCGGTGAAGGCCTGATGGACTTTCGGAGTTTCAGATCTGTCCACACTCTCCCTATACAGGTACTCTGTAAGAAGCCACCTGGACTGTCACTGGTCTAGTGCGAAATTTAGTGACTCCTGGAATAGAGCGGCAGCAGGGTCCAGTCGTCTCCGTGGCACCAGATCCCCGAAACGCTGAATAGCCGAAACACCGGCAGAGTATAGCGTCCAGCCTCGTACAAACTGGGGCTCTCAAACTGGCACTAATTCTTCTATTTCTCAGCCATTTCTGCACGGAATGCCTTGAAAATTTCAAGATCTGATCTGTGATGTATCCCGAACACATCGGTTACCCTCAAAGATCGTCGGCCCGACGATCTTTGAAAGGCAACAGTCAACAGTTCCATGGATGAGCCTCTTTGAGGCCCCTAGTTTGTGGGTGGGCTGGACGCTTATGACTGACCCACGGCCGGCCAGTGCCGGATTCTATGATCCTGGCCACCCATGGATCAAGCACACTCTTACGACATCACCGATCCTCCCTGGTAATTTTGTTCTCTTTACCCAAATTCTGTTATAGAACATAAAACGATCCCTATTTATGAGACCAAAAGTGCTATCGCTGACAATGATGGACTTTTCCAAAAGGGGTAGAAAATGCACTGAGGAGCCTTCAAGATAGGTTAGAAAAAATTATGTTGAGGAAAATAAGATGTTCGCTGCAAAAAAGGCTCTGATGAATCAAAAGAGCAAAACTTTGCATTTTCATTTACAAACTTGATCTACGGTCGGCTACAGTGTTTCGTATTTTTAAACTTTTAAAATTGGAGAGCAGGCTTGATTTTAAAAGAGTGATAAAATTTGGATTTCAACTTTTCAGAGGAGTCCAGGCACATGTTGGATAATAGGACATCATGGACAACCTGGCAACTTAGTGAATGGCGGGGCCGAGCTCAGAAACCATAGTCCCACTCCCCTTAAAAACATTCTATCAATACAGAAATTTCTTTTCCATGGAAAAATTGCTCATATTTCTAGACAACAGATTGGTGGTCCCACAGTCCATGCGCAAAACAATTCTAGAAAAACTTCATGGGTCCCATGTTGGTATACTTTACCAAAACAAAAGCCAGGGCAAAACATCTTTTTTATGGGCCAAAAATGACTACTGACATAGAACCATATTGACAGTGTAAGTCGGCAAACACATAACTCGATTTGCGACGTCGCAGACTTCCTGTCATACTTTATTTTTTAAACGGAAAACTACTCAACAGCATTTCTTTAAAACTGCCGTGATTTTTCTCCTTTGTGCGAAGAAAATTTTGCAAAAACTTCAAGGAATGATGTCAATTTGTTCTCCTTTAAAAAATTAACATAGAGGCGGAGATTTTCAGACACCGCAAACGAGTTATGTGATTGCCGACTTACACCGTCGATATGTATCAAGTTGAAAGACATGCCAAAAATTTACCGAAAACAATGTTAAAGAATCAATAATAGTGATGACTACTGACATAGAATTATGTATCAAGTTGTAAGACATGCAAAAAATTTACCAAAAGCAATGTTAAAGAACAATAATTGTTTGAACCAATGATGTTGAGAGCAGCCATCTCGTCCATTTCAATTTGTTGCCAATGATCTTCTCAACTATGAGAATAAAGACTATCTAGTCTAGTAGTCATGTACTCCAAATGGATAGAGTTAGTAAAACTGCCCTCCAAGACAGCCTCTGCTGTCATCGGAGAACTCAAAAAAATCTTCCCTGTGCATGGCACCCCTGTCAAGGTATTTGCGGATAATAATCTCTATACTCAATTCCCTAGAATTCAAACTTTTTGCCAAATCATGGGGATTTGAGCCTCAATACTCCTCTCCTCACTACTATAAAAGTAATGGTCTAGCTGGAAAAACGGTGAGAATTTGTGAAAGTCTTCTTAAAAAATGTGATGACACAAACTCAGACATTAACTTAATGCTTCTAGAATATTGAAACACTCCCGTCTCAGGGACCCCTCAGTCTCCAGCTCAGCTTTTGTTACGTCGCCTCTGCAAAACTTCTCTTCCAATAAAAGATGAGTTTCTAGAACTCACTTTCACTCCAAGCCATCCCACCACCCTAGCCTACAAGGCTCAAAATGCCAAATCATATTATGATGAGGGCCGGATTTACCTATAGGGCACTGGGGCACTTGCCCATAGCGGCAAATTTTGGCAATGGATTAATTGAAAGTTAAAGCGAGAAAAAGGGAAAAAATGGAGATAGAGACGGAGCGAAGTGAAAAGATGAGCGGCAAAATGTATGAAGGAAGGGAGTTGACGCTTGACGGGAGCGGCAAAGCTGCCGCACCTTAGGTCCGGCCTTGAGCGCTAGGATGATCGTCCGTTGAAGTGATACTAAACAACACGGCAATTTTTAACATCGAGGCAGACTTGATAATCAATTTAGACGTTGATGCTCTGGTTGACAGCTTTGCTAAACTGAAAACCCGGAGAAAAACTTTTTAACCTGATCTTCCGAATATACATTGCAACTAATACATTGAGCTACACTAGCTTCAACTTTGTAGAGTACCTATATTAAGAGAGTATGGCCACTGGGTTACCACCTCTGATTGGCTCAGCCATCTTAGGCTGAATTTGAGTCCCTTTATACTGAGAGTCAAGACAATTTGAATCCATTTCTGATTGGTTCCCGTATTTTAGGCCTCCACAGTGTCACAAACGGGAATAAAGATTACATTTTCACCAATTGCAAAGATTATAATCTGGAATGGACCAGGGAATTACGGGTTCGGCAAGGAACAAACGGAATGAGAGGAGGAACAGAGAAAGGCATTTGAGAGTGGGCCGATCAAAGATTACGAAAAACGTTCAATTTCTGTAATCGTTATTCCCGTTTGTGACATCCATGAGCCGAATTGTCTTGACTCTCAGTGTAAAGGGACTCTAGGCTGAATGGAGCCCTTAGGACCCAAAAATGACGGACGCCATAAAGTTAATGCAATGCAAAATGATTCAAAATGTAGTTGTCTTTGCTTATCGTAACGAGAACTTTACCTAAATGCACTATTGCGACTTTTTTACATATTTTTAAGGCTAATCGTGAGCAATTTTTGAGAAAAAAGGTCTTAGATGTAGTAAGGTTGGCAGCAAGTGCGGTTGGTGATAACCGTCAAAAGTTGGCAAGTTGGCAATGATCCCCCTCCCATCCTCAAAAACCAAAACAAAGCACCGCCATTTTTGGGTCCTAAGCCTCTCCATGGGATCCAGTGGCCAAACTCTCTTAATATAGGTACTCTACAACTTTGTCTCCACATTTTATTTTTGTCTCATCCATCCATTCCATTTTTATATATTCGCGGCGCATTTTGAAGCAGCTACGCGCACGCGCCCAGGCGGCGCACGAGGGGGGGGGGGGCAAGATGAGATGGCGTGGGAAGTTGGGAGTGCGGAGAGGGGGAGGGGGAGGAGGAGGAGGAGGAGGAGGGGATACTGTTGAGAATATAGTGGCGCAATATTGCAGACCCAGGGGCGGCAAAATGTAGCTTGCCCAGGGGCGGCAAAAAGCTAAATCCGGCCCTGATTATGATAAGCATGCAAAAGACTCAAATCACAATTTCTGCCCTTCGCAGTCAATATTATACAAGGTAAATTTATCTAAGGGCACTCCATGGAAGCTAGCAAAAATTGTCAATCCAAATAACAATCTTCGCTCATTCATAACCCAAGATGAAAATGGGAGACAAAAAGTTAGAAATATTCGCTTCCTCAAACCCATCCCTCAAGAACACAAAAAGTCTCCCGCCTCTTCCCAAGGGATCATATTGGGTACGCAGATTGAGAGAAATTGAGGAGAAATCAATTCTAGAGGACGACTCAGAGGCTGCTCCCATTCAACCCCCAACCCCCAAGATCGGAACCACAAACATTTTCCCTGAGATTGATTCTAAAGTGTCAAAATAGGGAAGGCCAACTTTATAAATGCCTCAAGTCGACCAATTTTACCTGAGTTATTGCAGTTGAAAACAGGTTTAAAATCATCAGACTGTCTCTCTCTCCGAATGTTTAGCTGTTTACAGAAAAGATTGAGGTTGGAATCAGCTTGAATTTTTACATTTTTCTTATTGAAACTCATGATATACCCTCTTGATGAGTAAAATTTATCAAGAAAAGTTGATTTCCAAGATCATTAAAATATTTCTACGTGCTCATGGATCGAAAGTCTTAATTAGTGATGTGTATAGCTTCATAGTGCAGCGCTAGCAAGTTAAATACTGCACTTTTTCAATCAGCGCTTAGTCTAATTTTAATGAGATGATTTTTGTCAATTTTTTCCCCTCTATTGCACGACTTTATGCTCATGAGCTGGTTTCCCAGCTGTGCAGATTTCTTCAGGTCGCTCACAAAGTCTACCTCTTATGTAAAGTCTAATCATGCTTCAGGTATGGCCATTTAAAATGTTTTTGCATCAGCATACTTCAAAGTATATTTTGCAGTTGGAGAACACAATGTTCCTCTTACAGTGTCCAAACAGTTCATTTTATTTTTCTCATTTAACAGCTAACACGAGTTAATGATGTGAGCAACTGCACAGCAGAATCGATCAGATCATCCAAGAGTCCAGGAGATCACAATGCTTTTTCAGAACTCTAGTTGTTTATAAGGTTAATGGGCTTCAATGTGTAACATTGTTGGGGAAAAGCCTGTCGGTAGTCCGTTAGAACATCGGAGGAGGATTCCCATTCGCTTCAAGCCTGGCACTCCATCGGTAGGATCCTATGTCTTCCTCAGGGACACTTTCTTCATCCAGTTATTCATTTACAGAATTTACAGCAAACATCTTGAGGTATTCAAAAAATTGGCCCTCCCTATTTTGACGCTCTAGAATCAATTTCAGGGAAAATGTTTGTGGTTCCGGGCGTTTAAAAGGTTGAAAATTCAGTTTACAATTTGAAAGTCGTTTTTTACAGGGAAACGCAATTAGTGCGACAAGGACAGCGCATTGTTTCGAAAGAATCAATGTTGACTTTGATATCACGGCTAAGTGAGTCCAAATCTCATAGATGAATTGAAAAATCTCAGCAGATTTTGACCTCTGAGCTATAAAAAAGCATGGTACGTAGCTCCTGCCTAGAAACCTTAAAAAATGTTCTAACCAAAAAATTGGCAAATTTTGAATAATGAAAGCAGGATTCTTTCGGGAAAAAACCTTCCTATTCAATACAGTGGTTGATTTTAGACACAAATGCAGCAGTAATTCATCTCTACTAATTTTGTCAATTTACTGGTATAGAAAGACTCTTCAAGTTCACGTGCAGGAGATTGCGTCCTTGATTTGGCTGGACACTCAAAATCTGCGAAGATTTATCAATTTACTGATGAGATGTATTGCATACAATTTCAACCATGCCAAAGCCTGGGATGAATCACCATAGCTGAACTCTTTGAAAACACCTCTGGCAGAAGGGACGAAAAATGTCTTTGCCGGCATTTCATTTTGAAGTCTAGTCGTAAATTTTGGTTTTTTAGTAGAATCCACACCAACTTAGTTGCTCTGTTAGACTGTGACAGAGGATCTGTCATCTTGATTTTAGAATTAACTTTCCAAACGAAAATGATGTGAAACGATCTTCTGATACAGTCTAAAAGCACATCTAAATGTTAGTTGCTGTTTGTGCCGACGCACAAAAGCCTAAGTCCCATCACAGGGCAAAAATCAGAAATGAATAAAAAGTGCGTCAACTTACTTGGCGTGGACTCTAGGCGGTAATAATTTCTTGGAGATGTCAGATGTAGAGTTGATAGAAAAGCTAAATGGTTACAATGATCTTGGGAGGGTTGGGCACATCTGAAATTTAACAATCGGAATGATGAATATTTTCTAACATACATGGGTTTGAAGAAGGTACCATGGTAATTACAAATAAAAGCACAAATCACCAAAACCGCAGTAAAATTTGACATTCGATGAACGATTTTCTTACCTGAAAAGTTATTATTTGAGCGGGGATGAAGGGCCTTCACCTTTCGATGAAATGTAATGCTGGGATTTCCAACAGTACTTATTTCCACGGCATAGGGAATGAACATGAATGAAGAATTGAAGTGTAAATATCAACAAATTAATCCGTCTGACCAGTGTTCCCAGGTGCTCCTATCTTAAAATGTCCGTACGCTCTCCGGATGAACTCGGGGAGGCTCGTGTATATCCGTGCCGCTCCGTGCTCCGTCCGTGTTCCGTGAATTCCGTTTCCGTTTCCGGTTCCGGCTCCGGCTGTTTTGTTGTTTTGTTGATGCGTTGCCTACGAGATGGAGAGGCCGTAACTACGATTCTGTGACGTCACACTAGTAGATGAAACTCGGCCGCGGTTTAACACGCGTTCTTATGGGAGAACGCTTGCCGCGCGATGATTTCTCGCCGATATCTCTTTCAGGGTTGATCTGATGCAAAATTTCATAAGAACCGTTTAGAAAGAAGATGAAATTTCACTTTAGAAAACTAACTAGTTCATTTGTGACATTGTCTATATATCGAGGAAATGAATGCGTAATACCGAAAATCGTTACTCCACTCAGATTCAAACGGGCCGCTCGCGCAACTTCGGCCGATCGAGAGCCACTCTGATTGGTCCACGCAGCGACTGCCTCACTCATCGATGCACTGATGACCCGCAGATGCATGTTGTTTTCGGTAAATATCTACTAGCTTGACGTCACAGAACTGACTAGTTACGGCCTCTCCATTCTCGTAGGCAACGGTTGATGATGTTGATGTTCTCTTGATCTCTTGTGACATTCAAGTACCTATGTCCTCTAGAAAGCATTGACAGGAAAAAATAATCGGAACAATTATAGGTGCCTACATCAAAAAGCAATAATTCAAAAGAAAGGAGCTGACTTTTCATGAAATTCATAATTCCTAACCCATTGAACTGATTGAATAACACATAAATTAATGCAGAAAGGTCCTGAATGATACCTGGGTTTTATTCGTGGCTTCCTTGTATCAATAACATTGGCGAAATTGAGAAAAAAAGTAAGAAAAAATGTCTGAGTGATCAAACACAAAAGCACAACAATACAGAAAACAAGGACGGACCTTAAATGAAAAGGCTGAATTTTGATAAGAATACAATATAATTAATGCGAAAAGTATCTAATTTGTTCCCGAACGATACCCGGCTTTCATACTAAACATAATTGTATCAATAACTTACGCAAAAGTAATAAATATTGCAAAGAAAAGCGGATTAACAGATGCACGGACTGGGCCGGGCGGGCGCACGGACATAAATGAAATGACTGAATTTTGATAAGAATACAATATAATTAATGCGAAAAGTATGTAATTTGTTCCCAAACGATACCCGGCTTTCATACTAAACATCATTGTATCAATAACTTACGCAAAAGTAATAAATATTGCAAAGAAAAGCGGATAAACAGACGCACGGACAGGGCCGGGCGAGCGTACGGACAAAATAAGATAGGGAAAAATTTTCCCATAAGGTTTTTGTCCGTACGCTGTCCGCGCGGGTATAGGGAATGTCCGCGCGGCGCGGAAATATCCGCACGCCTGGGAACACTGCGTCTGACTACGCTAGGGCAGGGCAAAGTAGAGTCCCTTTATACCATAGAGTACAATAGAGTCGCAAAGTACTGGATCGCCGTTGAAGTCACTTTTCGAGGCTGTTTTGTCCAGTTCTCCGGAGACTAGTGTGCGGCGACTAGCGACGACGCATACGCAGAGACTCGCGCTCAGCGCTCCCCACCTCCCCACTCCCGTCCCGACTCGGCTCCGTTCGTCGGCTAGGTCCACACACATTGAACCAGCCAAGTAGGCCGGTAATAAGTCTGAAATTGAGTCCATATATGAATATTATCCAGGAGTAACATACATTAATGGATTCATTATGGCTTTGGATATCTATTTAAAGCAAAATTCGTACAAATTAATACCGATGGAATTTAAAAAAGTCGAAAAAATACAAGCAGTCCTTGATTTCTCCATAAGCCACCGTGTTAAAAAATTCCGGTTGGTTCACACTTGGTATAAGTCAGAAATTAAATCCCTGTATGAATATTATCCAGGAGTAATATACATCAATGGATTCATTATGGCTTTGACTACCTTTAAATAGCAAAATTTGCAAAAATTAATGCTGATTGAATTATAAAATACCTAAAAAACACAAGCAATTCTTGATTTCTCCATAAGCCGCCGTGTTACAAAATGCCGTTGGGTTCACAAATGGTTCACAATTTTCGGAGCACACGCGGCTCGGAAACGCCTGTTAATGGATTGGCTTCATCGGCGCTCCAGTACTTTGCGACTCTATCGTACTCTATGTTTCTACATATAGGCGTAGCCTTATTATTCTATGGCATGGCTTCGCATCCTCGAAATTAAGCCCCGCCCACTCCAAGTCACCTGCAAAATAATAAAAGACGATTGCAGACCATAGAGAAAAAAAAGGTGGTGTTTGCATTTCGGGCATCTTGGAATTTTTGATGACTTGATGACGTAAGTGGGTACAGTGTGAAGGGGACGTCTCTGTACCCAGCTGTAGGTGGTATTGCCGAAATGCAAACACCTCCTTTTTTTTTCTCTATGATTGCAGACGCCTTCCTGCTTCCGGACTTTGCATAGAGTACATAGAGTCGTAATGTAAATGGGAGAGCTGGCGCCATGTTCTGCTCGACGAGTTCCGAGCCCGGTGTGCGCCGAGTTCGGGTCACTTTTTCGATACATTTTCGATCCAAAATGGCGGTGTGGAATACATGGTGATTCCTATCTCCTTCGTTGTTGTTGTTGTTGTCATCGGATGGCCGGGTACCCGTGTATCGCAAACAATCGATTATGTATCGAAAAAGTGACCCGGCGTCACACAGGAGTCTCGGAATTCGGGACATGGAAAATGCTTAAAAGTGGCGCCAGCTCTCCCAATTACATTACGACTCTATGTACTCTATGGGACTTTGTCGCCGTTTGTTTGTTTACATTAGGAGCATATAAGAGTGAGTTTGACACCGATGGCAGACTTTGGTCATCTTTGGTTTTTGATGAAAATTTGTCCAGTCCAGTTCCAGTGTCCAGTCCGAGCCCTAACCTCTCTTAAACAGATTGTATTGTTGTGCTAGAGGCAATTCTTAATGAAGTGACGATCCCATCGAACTTCCTCACCCTACCCACTTTTTGATCACTTCTTTTACCGTGCTATTGAGTTTTGCGGCGTCAAGCGTGTTACTTCTGCATCCAAAGCTGACATACTCTTGTTGTCAGAGTGGCTCTCCTTCAATAATTTGCCCAACTTTTTCACAAACCAACTCCATCTCATTATATAATCCTGTCCCTATAATCTCCTGTCTTGACATCTCACAGTAAGTTCCATTTTGACCATCAACACTACTGTTCAAGTAATTTAATTTTATGTAATTCTTTTTAACTGTCAGGGGTGGCGCATGTATCAAAAAAGTCCCAATCGGAGAGGTATGCAGGATCAAATCCATAAGAATAGCTTGAGGTGATTCGATGGACGCCACATTTTGTGTCAGAAAGGCGTGTGATATATCGCATCAATTGGTTCTTCAGCTACTCGTCATTTTTCTCCAGTTTTGAGATCGCAATTCTGTTGTCAGGAGACTAAAGTACTCACTTACCAACTTTAACAAAGAAATGCAACATAATAAAGGCGTGGTTTTTTTAGAGAGAAAATATCGCATTCCAGTATCGAATGCGATGTTTTCTCTCTGAAAAAACCATGCCTTTATTACGTTGAATTTCTTTGTTAAAATTTGTAAGTGAGTACTTTAGTCTCCTGACAACAGAATTGCGATCTCAAAATTGGAGAAAAATGACGAGTAGCTGAAAAAATGGAACCAATTGATGCGATATATCACTTGCCGTTCTGATACAAAATATGGCGTCCATCGAATCACCTTAAAGTATGTACCTCCTAGCCCACACGGTCTTCTCAGTTGATTGATGTTGGCTAAACGCTTAACTATATGCAGTTTATTGATTTTGCTCCTTCAATATCCCACTCATGGGTGATTTCATGACGACAGGAATAGCTCAAATGTGCAACACCTTAAAAATAAATGTGCACCAATATTTAGTAAACGAATTTCAGTACTTCATTTTAAAGGTATTAAACTTCCTTTTTCCAGCTTTGGCATCGAACTGTTTTGATTCAATATAGTAATTGACTAACAAGCCATCAAATCACAGGTATCGCTCCTCTTGCAGGACTGCTGGAGGTCCACGCGAACATGGCGGCACTGCCGAATTGTGTCGGTTACGTAACTAACACAGTGTAACCGACACTTGAAAACAAGACCAATCCACACAGGTCAGTCATTCCCGAGGACGAGTTTTGGAACTCTACTGCGCAAAGACGTAGTATTGAGTGCCTGCAGTGTATTTTTTATGAGAGCACCGATTGACACGTAGCATTGAGTGCCGCCGAGTTTGGGCCATGCAGGGGAGTGGATCTCAAAAAGATGCGCAATGGCCTGTGTGGATTGGTCTTGCTTGAAAATGTGAAATAAAAGATGATACAAAAGATGAAACTTGGCAATTCTTGAGGTATGAGGTGGAATTAATGCTGCCTTAAAAGTTTTCTAAATTTTGGGGACTTCCTGTTTGTTTAAGTAATAGTATATGAAGGATTTTGTGTAGTGTATGATTAGTGCTACAGACCTAAAAATCACTGGTTTTCACAAAAATTAAAGTTTTCAGCATAGAAAAAGCCGACTTACACTAGGGCCCACGAACGATGATCCCTGAAAAATCGGGCAAATAAACGCGTGGGCCATGTAAATGACAACGCTGCAGGGTCGAGCACGCACATCGACGAGACCGCGTATTGTGAACGCGAAAAGCTATTGTATGCGAACTGCTGCTATTCTACCCCTATCTTCAGGTCAAAATTCTTCATAGATAGCCCTTTCGTAAAAGACCAATTTCTTGTAATTTTGCCCCAATCTCTTCGTCCATTACATGGTTGGATTGCTCGTAAAATTCTGAGCTAAATCATATATAATTGTTATATACAATTTTTATTTTTTCCTTCTTTTTCCTTTTTGAAGCGAAGTCCAATTTTTATTTATAACGTCGTATCTTGAACTGTAACTTTGCTGCTATTTGACCGATTTTTATAAACGAGGCCTCTTTTTACTCGTGTTTTAAAGGAGAGTAACGAAACACTTGCTAAAAAAATGTTACACAACTTTCAACAAAGGAGGGGTGGCGATTTGGGCCATTTCCGGCCCCACCTAATCCGGGACTTTTTTTGCTGTGATTCGTTACGTATAAGTGTCAAGAGAAAGCATGCCAAGTTTCAGGCCGATCGGCCCAATATTCGGGGGGCAGGGGAGGGGCCCCCCGAATTTTTAAGCGCAAAATCGGTTTTAATTTTGTAGCGCCGTCAATTTCGCTCGTATACAGATGAAAATTGGGTGTCAGGGGTAAAATTCTGCGTTCTTTCCATTTCCGCTGTCAAAATTGACACTGGGGCAAAATTAAGGGGGATTTTGGGGGGTTTTTCGCGTTTTTTCGCGTTTTTTACCAATTTTCTGCGGTTTTCATGCTTTAAGTCAGAGATTTTGAGCCAAACGACCACAGATTTGATTTTTACGCAAAAAATTACATAGGAACCTAATGACCAACTAACACTCAACAGCGGATTTCTCTAGGAAAAACTGACCCATAAGTATGTGTTCACTCAGAAATTTTGAAAATAGCCATGTTTCGGGTACAGCCCAAGCTTGTAGCACTACCATATTCACATATGATACGCTCTAGGTCGACCCTGTTGATATTATCGGGAACTTGAAATGCTACCCGCTTGGGCGGAGGGTCGAATTCTCCTCAGAAACGAATAAAAAAGGCGATAAAATTACGTTTCACGTGAATTGTTGCGAGCGGAATGTTATTATATCGGCAACTTTCACCTCCAACTTATGTAATTTTTTGCGTGCTTTCCAATACTGCCATGAAAATTGGCATCAAAGCAATTTTAAACGGGTTTTTGGGGTTTTTTATCATTTTTTAATCATTTTTTACCAGTTTTTTCCGGTCTTTTGCGGTTTTCGTGTTTGAAACCTCATGTGGCATATCAGTTCTGTGGTTTCTTGGTTTTTACCGACATCAAGAAAAAGAGCCCCGAAGATTGTCATCCTCTTATGGAGACTGCCTAGAGGATGCTGCTTACTTATGGTCTGACGAGGATTCAGAATGAGAGATAAGGATTTTACACAACATTTCTTCTGCTATACGATTCATCCGTGACGTATTTTATGGATGTGATTGTAAACGTATTTTGAGGAAAATTAAAATTTGTGGTCGTTTGGCTCATTTGGTGAGGTTTCAAAAATGAAAACCGCAAAAGACCGGAAAAAACTGGTAAAAAATGATTAAAAAATGATAAAAAACCCCAAAAACCCGTTTAAAATTGCTTTGATGCCAATTTTCATGGCAGTAATGGAAATCACGCAAAAAATTACATAAGTTGGAGGTGAAAGTTGCCGATATAATAACATTCCGCTCGCAACAATTCACGTGAAACGTAATTTTATCGCCTTTTTTATTCGTTTCTGAGGAGAATTCGACCCTCCGCCCAAGCGGGTAGCATTTCAAGTTCCCGATAATATCAACAGGGTCGACCTAGAGCGTATCATATGTGAATATGGTAGTGCTACAAGCTTGGGCTGTACCCGAAACATGGCTATTTTCAAAATTTCTGAGTGAACACATACTTATGGGTCAGTTTTTCCTAGAGAAATCCGCTGTTGAGTGTTAGTTGGTCATTAGGTTCCTATGTAATTTTTTGCGTAAAAATCAAATCTGTGGTCGTTTGGCTCAAAATCTCTGACTTAAAGCATGAAAACCGCAGAAAATTGGTAAAAAACGCGAAAAAACGCGAAAAACCCCCCAAAATCCCCCTTAATTTTGCCCCAGTGTCAATTTTGACAGCGGAAATGGAAAGAACGCAGAATTTTACCCCTGACACCCAATTTTCATCTGTATACGAGCGAAATTGACGGCGCTACAAAATTAAAACCGATTTTGCGCTTAAAAATTCGGGGGGCCCCTCCCCTGCCCCCCGAATATTGGGCCGATCGGCCTGAAACTTGGCATGCTTTCTCTTGACACTTATACGTAACGAATCACAGCAAAAAAAGTCCCGGATTAGGTGGGGCCGGAAATGGCCCAAATCGCCACCCCTCCTTTTGTTTTTTTCTAGCGGGAGGGTGAAATTGTAAATTACGCGTAAGTAATTAGGGTTCGATTGTGGCTCGGCTCGGCATTGTCCCCGAACTCGAGACTCGGTTCGGGCCGGGGTGTCGCTGTTGCCAGTGTTTGCAAGAAATACCCGCGGCTCAGGGATCATCGTTCGTGGGCCCTAGTATATGTGTAGTGGTTTGGTCAAGAAGACTAAAATGATGCCTGCAATTTAGCCTTTGATGACCGTTTTGAAACTCCTGGTACCATTTGGCGAGATAAACTCTGCACTTAATACAACTACAAAAATATGTTGCTAAATGTGGCGACATTCTTTCTAATAACTTTTATCACTTACTAGCCGTTCTTGGCGCGCTTCGCGCGCCCGTCACGCCTAGCCGGGGGCTACGCCCCCTGGACCCCCGGTCACTCGCTACGCGAGTGACATTCGGCTCGCCTCGCGAGCCGACTTTGTTGTAGTTGCAAATTTTTTATCACTATATTTTGAAGATTTCATAGAAAACATTAAGAAATTCTCACTCCACAATTAACTTGTAGAATAATAATGGTAGGGCAAGAAATAGACTATATCTTAAAATGGACGGTTCCCACTTAGTAAAAACAGCCAACACCACGTGAAGGTGAGGAACCATCGTTAGCCACTTTTTTTTTTTTTTTTTTTTTTTCTTTACTTTTCTGAAAAAAATTTACTGAAATTTTAGTTGCGTCCCCTAAAAGGAAACACGGAGAAAAAATTTGTGCATGGAACCCGAAGCTGAGATCATATGGATCTCTGAATTTTTCGGATCACGCATCCGAAAAGTTAAGGTCCATCTGCCGAAGTTCGGGTCAGACAATTGAAGTAGTTCGGTATATACCGAAGGTTTCAGGTCACACATCTGAAGTACTCGGTTTATACCGAAGTGCTTCAGATTTCTGACTCAGAGATTTAGGAAAAACACAGAAGAGAACCAAGGAAATCACAGTAGAACAGAGAAAAAAATACAGTCGAATAAATAAAGAAAACTATTATCGAAGAAATTCTAATTATTAGAAAGTAATTAGCTGGCGTAATCAATGCGTAGCTGCATAGGAGCATGAGCGAGATTTATCATCAACTGACCGCTGGTCGCTAGGTACCTGGGTGGGCGAGCGA